AGTTGCCCTTAAGCGGTGCCGCCTTTGTAAAGGAAACTGTTTGTGTTTTGAGCAGCAGAGCTGAGTTTGTGATAAATCTTGTGCCAGTTCCAAACACCTTATTTACTGTTGACTCAAGCTTTGAGACTGTAGTTTTGTACCCAGGTGCTGAAAGGTGGATGACTGTCAGCATCTCCCTGTTGAACACCTTGGTGCTGTAAAGTCTTGGGTCTTATGACTCTGTCAGCTCCTCATTGGGTACTACTTGTGCACCAGTTCACCAAGAACCATTACTCATCACTTTGACCAGCACAGCCGCACTGGTAACTTGTGGTGAATGATGATGGTGGAGGAATGCCATGCCGCAGCAGTGAACTGGTAAGCAGCATGAGGAGGAGGTATCAGGTCCTTGTGGCTGTGTATGGTTCTTCCACATCAGGTGGGCCACATCGAGCCGTTTAAAGCGATCGAAGTGCCGGCTTTGTCTTGTAGCGATGTTAACATGCTTTATAAAACACGTCTTGACAAAATCCTTTACGTACAAAAGACATGTTCTGTAAACATGTTGTACATGTAAGTGGAAATATGCAAAACTAACATATGTAATTGTGTTTTTAAGTCTTTAGGGTTCAGTCTAGTTCTGGAAACACGAGAACTTAAAAAATGTTTTTTAAAAAAGTTTTGCGTAAGAGCGCTAACGATCAGTCGTTAGGCTGATGGTCCTCCATCGTGTGAACAGCTGGTTCTGCTTGTCAACAACAAACTGGTTGATCCACTATGAGAAGGTGCTGTTTGTTTAGTGCAGCTCCTCAGACTGAAGAAGTCCTTTGGATGAAAGACAAAACTTTTCTAGTTTTTTTTGTTTGTTTTTTGAACGTCCAGAGGACCTGACTTAACGTTTTTAGATTTTTCTACCTGGATTATTGAGCAGCATCAGGAAATAAATTGCTGCTGTCTAAGTGAGGATATTGGGGACCTGATGGATTGACCTGATGGAGATTGTCCAAGGGCCACTTTTGGCCCTCGAGCCTTAAGTTGCCCACGTCTGTTCCACAATGCCACTCAGGCTGTTGGTTAAATGATAAATTGTTAAACTGACATAAGTTTGATGCTACACTGTCAAAAACTACTTGAAGCAAAGCAGCTAAGGTGAAACTGTTTTGACATGAATGTAGAAAGAATAGACTTCCTGGTGGACTTCTTCCTCTGATATTTCTGATGATCTCACGTTGGATCGAACCACATCGTGACTTTTGGGTGAGTCATACGATGTCACTTGTTCACGTTTTATAAAGCTGTATCTTATGGTAGGTGTGTTGTAAAGTTAATTTCAGCTTTTGTCAGTATAGTCTGTATGTGAAAACTTTAATTTCAGTTTGTCAGTCAAGTAAAATACTTATGGAAGCCCATTTCCGTCATGAAAGAAAAAATAAAAGCCCAACAGGAAGTCATAATTTAGACTTTTAAAGTCGTAATTATGACTTTTATTCTCGTAATTATGACTTTAAAACTCAATTTTGACTTCCTGTTGGGCTTTTATTTCACAGTGGAAATGGGTTTCGATACTAAATGCTCTATAAAGTGTCAATGAAAAGATTTATACGACATACTTTTATTTAAAAGGATTGATGTTTGAAGGCAGAGGGACATACATTGAATGTTAAGCAGGAAAACTACCGGTGTCCGACAGGAAGTTGCATCCCTGTAGAGTCACGGTGTCTGGCAAGGGACAAACTTCATAATTATATTAGAAAAGTCAAAATTATGACTTTAAAATTCGAAATTATGACTTTTATTCTCATAATTATGACTTTAAAACTCATAATTATGACTTTTATTCTCATAATTATAACTTTAAAACTCATAATTATGACTTTTATTCTCATAGTTATGACTTTAAAACTCATAATTATGACTTTTATTCTCATAGTTATGAATTTAAAAGTCAAAATTATGACTTTTTGTTGAGTTTTTATTTTTTCTTTCATGATGGGAATGGGCTTCCATAAATGCTGGATATTATGGGTGAAATTAATTCCCGTAGCTACATTTGTTGTTGTTGTGCTTCTGTTTTTGTGTGAGAATCTGTTTGTATGGTCAACACAACAGTGAACGTGGCTGAGCCGTCTGAAACCTGCACTGATCACGGATCAGCTTGGGCTGAGATCTGTCTTGTCTGGCTCGTGCCGTGAACACGCATAATCTGGAAACATATGTTTCTAAATGTGTGATTGGACTCTGATAATATCTGTCGTTTTCTAATATTCCAGAAAATAAATTCAAAGTTTGACATAGCAGGATTATAATAACCCGTTTTTTAATAAAACGGATAGTTGGTGAGTGTTAAAGTGGAAGTGATGTGTTTCCAGGATTACGTTCAAGTTGTTAATGAGATTGTTGTTCCGTCTGTTCGAGCTGCGGTCGGGACCGTTTGTTTTTCAGACTAAGGTCAAGAGAAAAGTGCCGATTTTAACCAAAGACGTTTTTCTGAAGAATCCTGCTAATTATTTTTTAATAAGAAAAAATACTTTCCATCATCCAAAGTTTGACTGTTTTCCATAAAGAAATACAAACAAATGTTGTCAATTAAAGTTTTTATTCTTGCTATCAGTTTTTTAGGAGAGGGTTTAAAGTGCATGATTTAATAAATTACACTTTATTGATTTGTCTCTTATCCATCAAACTGCAGACCTGTAGTTTCTGACCTCTGAACAGAATAGCAGCTCTTTCTTTTCTTTTTTAGATGTGCCAGCTTACATCTAAAATGGATTATAATCCACAGACCTTTTAGATTTTTGCTCTAAAATATATAAAAAAAACAGAATTTAACTCAAAACAGCAGCGAGAGACACGTTTGTGTAATTTGCAGCGTTTTCCCACGTCGTTTAAAAACCATTGCATTTAGTAAGAACATTATACCTTACAGATTAAAATCTTGTTTGTAATAAAAGTAGGCCTGTCGCAATAAACAATAAATCAATTAATCACATGATTATTAATTAATGTAAATATCTTTTTATTTGAGGATGTGATGTTTTTCTTCAGCACTTTGGGAAGAGTTTCTGTTTTAAATGTGCTCTATAAATAAATCTGACTTGACTTGAATTATTACCGTTATTATAATATAATTATATATTATAATTAATATTTATTATTATAATTTTTATGATCATTATAATTAATTAACCCAGCAAATGTTATCCTGACGGGCCTAGAGTCAAGTACAACAGTTGAATTGGTAAAATGCACAAACCGAACATGAACTTTGTGTTCTTTATTTCACTGATCCTGCAGATTGTGCCTGAAATGATCTCAGTCCAAGTTTCTCTAGAGATTTATTTATTATTTTACTGCACTTGGAATTGTGGAGTTAAGTCGTTTTTTTAGTTTTTGACTCGTATCATTTCACTTTTATGCTGTTACCACTTTTGTTCTGTGTTTTCCTGCAAAGATCTGAGGGCGGTTATAGCAGATAAATCAGACTTTACGCGCCTGTTCAGCATTTTAATCTTTATAAGTATTTGTCAAAGATAAAAAATTGTTGAATAAGCAGCGGTTTGACCTCTAACTCACCTGACGGCTGCTCTTTCTAGATGGCAACGTTTAGAAAAGTGTCTGTTTTTCTGGAGTGGCTGAGTTAAAGTTGGTATGTTTCACCTGGTACCCGTGTTTCAGCCCTGTGCTGTCAAAGTTCATGACACGTCATGCATTGTTTTAGTGACTGGTGCATACAGTGACCTTACCAACTGTTGTGGGAGTGTTGGGTTTCACATCAATCTAAGGAAATCCTTACGTAGCTGCTGACAATGGCTGAGAGGTTAGACATCTTAAAATAGTTCGTCTCTTCCCTGTGCAGCTGTAAACTTACCACCAAGTCTGTCCAAACCTTAAAGGACAGATGATGCGCACACGGGTTTAAATATTGCTCATTTATTCATGTTTCTCTTTTGTTCATGCCTTCTAACAGAAACTAGCGATCGTGGTGGGACCAGTAAAACGAGGCGACCGTCTCGTTGCACATCTAATCAGCTGATGTCTGAACGGCCCCACCTGCACAGACCCTGGTTATTCGCTGCGGTAGCTGGAACTGCTCTTATCAGTCGCTCTGCGTCTCAGTGGTGCCTCTGGTTGACCTTCCTCTCAGCGTGCACAGGCCAAGGCCTGAATAATGTATGAGTAGCCTGGAAAGAGTGTGCGCGTCATGTAACTCTCCTGGAGTTAACGGAGGTACTGAGAGCGAACTGGATGTTTGGGTTTGCAGGAGTTGGTGCTCCACCGGCGCTGAGAGTCCCTCCTGCTGTGACCTCGTGCTCTTCCCCTGCTCGGACCGTGCTCGTACCCCCAACCCGTTAAAGAGTGTGTTGGACTGCAGCGTGTCAATCATTAATGAAACGCGTGCCGTCGTCTCGGGTTTCCTTCAGGAGAGGAAGGAGCTCAGGGGTTAACGATAACAGGATTGGGAGTATGCATGCGTTGTGCGGTAACGCGGCACGTTTTCTCTCTCTGTCCACAGAACGTGTCACCGAGGAACTCGTCTGAACGTCTCTTCCTCTGACGACCTGTGAGGAAGCTCATCATCGAGTTATGGAGCCTTCTCTGTTCATGCCCGTTTAGACCCGGAGCTCTGGTCCAAGTCCTGCACAGTCCTCCTGCTGTCGTTAACGATGGATTCATTGTTCACGGCCACGTGGGTTCTCAAATCCCGTCCCTCTGTTGGAGCCAGGTCTTGGACACAGTCAGCACAAATATGAATTTAATGATGAAGGCGAGTCTGACCGGGAGAGAAGTTTGACATCCGAGTTGCTCTTTGCCCTCCGTTAAGGTTTCATCATGGAAGGACTGAAAAGTGGCTAAAATCTGCCGCTTGGACACCGTTCCACCGTTTCATTGTTGCTCTATAAAAGCTTTTCTGAAATAACGTTCTTCTGGAATCAACAATCACAATTTAAATATATATTTTTCCTGTTTACTTGATTATTCATGTTTGTGTTCTTGAGGCTGTGGGCCTGTTGGGCCTGACAGAAAGTTCTGAACTCACTGAAAGGATTAGTTTTTCCCGGAGGCTCCGTAAAACAAACTGCAGTAAAGCACCAAACAAATGGCAGCTGATCACGGCGAGCTGCTGGCTGAGATGGCCACCGTCGGGCGTCTGAGCGCCACGGAGCGCCTGAAGCACGCCCAGAAGCGCCGCGCTCAGCAGCTGAAGGCTTGGGCGCAGATGGAGAAGGATGCAACACGAGGGTCACGGGCCAAAGCAGACAAGAGGAAGAAGCGCACGACCAGAGTGACATTTCCTGCCCCCGTCACTCTGCTGGACGCAGCGGCACGCAACGACGTAGAGGAAGGTAAAATACACACACAGTGATTTGCATAAAGTTATTCTCCCCTGAAGGTGGAACCTTTGTCTGTGCACCTGGTTTTTGTTACGTTTGAGGACCTTTCCTGGTAAAATTACCGGTCCCGTCAGGACCAGTAGTCCCATTTGGAACCAGTACAACACCAAATACGATCATTTTTAGTTTGTCTTTCGAGCTTAGCTGTGGATTGAGCTTTAAGTTTGGGTTGGTCGAGCTCTAACGTTATTTGGGGTGAGGCTTAAGAAATGAATGGAAATCAATGCAGCGGCTTCAGGATAGAAATACAGACTTGAGAGCAGGCGTATTTGTCGTGTTAGCAAAACATCCCATCAATCACTGGATGCACATAGACCTGTCGCGATAAACAATAAATCAATTAATCGCATGATAAATTGAAATTAATCTCATTTTCATTTATCGTTTTTATCGTTTCTTCGTGTCTCTCTTTCTACTGAAGACACTGGACGACAGAAGGCTCAGGTGTTCTGCTCTGACCCCTCCCTCTTTAAAATCTGTTTTAACCGCCAATCACAGTTTTAGCGCGTTAAAAGAAGCTAAGCTACGAGCTAAGCTAACAGGCCGACCTCGGGGAACAAACCTCCGTCTTGTCGAAGCTTCAAAAAATTCACGGTCGAAACTCGTGCCTACGTGTAAAAAGTTGTTTTTTCTGCAAAAACAAGCCGAGAACTTGTTTACTGATTTTTATTAAAAGATTTGTGTGAAAAATGCTAAAGAGCTCAAACCACACCGAGCGTCCGCCATTTTGAGAACCGAAGAGAGGCAGCCCATGTCACGTCAAGGGGCCTCCCTCCCATTTTTCTTAAAGAGACACGCTGCTCGCTCACTCACTATCCATCCTTCATTCAGACTGTCTTGTACTGCTATCCGGTGGTCAAAACAGGTACCACACACAAAAATTAACCAATATTTCATCTTAAATTTGACAGTAATCACTAATTATTGTCAAATTTCAAACAATATTATCGTTTATCGCCATAATTTCTGAGACAGTCGCCCAGCAACATTTGTTATGGAGCAGGCCTAGTTGTGAGCAGATGTGTTCTTTGTTTGTCTGTTGCGTTAGCAAAACATCCATCTGGATGGATTTTAATGAAACCCAGAAAGTAATCGATGCACATCTACAATTGATCGACTCCAGACAACTGAAAAAGGCTGTAACTCCGCCCATTTTACAAATATAAAGCTAAAGTTCGGTATTAATCGCTGAGCTTCATCTCCGTTATTCTTGGTTAAAACTTTTGGTATTTTCCGTTGGCGTCTACCGTGTTTCTCTGTTAGGAAAATATTTCATGAACCACTGGGCAGATTTGAATGTAAACCACTGGCTGCACACCTACACCTGTTCAAGATGGCCACCGCAGTTAACTGACCATAGTCGACAGTAAAATGACTCCGTCAGTTTTACAGGTACTGAGCTAAATTTGGTGTGGTAGTAGCTGAGAGTCATCGTCCACGCACGCTCCAAATGCTAACAGGTCTTTAGAGATCTGGCAACATGATGGAGTTAACCTTTAATTTCATTCTAAATTATTCTGAATAATTGTAGAGGGCTCTGCATTTTTCTTTCCAAGGCTGCAGGATCCGGATAATAATGTTTGTAAATCTTTTCAGCGTTCACGTTCTGCTCCGGCTCGCTCGGTTCTGCTTCTGCTCACAACATGCGTTTTGTATTTCCCTTCTGCCGTCGGTCAAACTGTCGTGCGTCTTTGTGTTTTTTACAGTGAGAGAGCTGCTCAACGGCGGCGTCAGCCCAGATCTGGTCAACGAAGATGGACTGACGGCTCTACATCAGGTGCGCGCACGCCCCCAGCTCAGGGAGTTGACTGAAACGCACGGACGTTTGTTCGTCAAACGTTCGGCTCGTTCAAACGTTACCTGGATGTTTGACTTGTTCACAAAAGCAACTTGGGTCATCGTAACTCAAATAACACGCCCGTTATTTCAAACACGGTTAACTCGAACGCTTCACATGCACTAATACACACAACCATGCAGAGAGAAGGCCTTACCCTGCATGGTCAGACGTAAAACTTGGAGTAATTAAACACATATTTCTATAAACACTGATTATTCTTTGACACTACCAGGTCTTATGATGTACCGTAATTCCTGGATTATAAGCCTCTACTTTTTTTTACACACTTTGAATCCCGCAGTTTATACAATGTGGCTAATAGTTTTTTTTTAATGGGTTAACGAGCAAAACATTTAGCCTCGTCTCACCTGGGCGCTCGCATAGCTGCACAATACAAGTCTTGGGGGGTGGGTCCTCTTGACTCAATGAGACAATCTGTATGAATAAAAGGTTAATAAATAAATCTGACCAATGAGATTACTGCTCAGATCAGAGTGGACCAATAAAACTTCAAGTTACAGTAAATCAAACGCACTCGCACTAAATTCTTCAGTCAGTTATTTTGCGTTGGAGACGGCAGCGTGAAGAACTGAATCTGTGCAAAAAGACGACAAAAGCTTTCAGAGGTTTAAAAAACCCGTACTGGTTTCTTTAGTTTTTGATTTTTTTCTTACACTTAACTGTTTCAGATTAGCAAACGCATCAGAATATCAGACGAATCCAATCCGAATAAAAACAAAGTGATGATTTAATTTATCAAACAAAAAGGGTGATCGGACCAACCTGTGAAACTGTAAATAACATTATTTTTAAAGCTGAGATCAGTTTCAGTCGCCACGTTCAGCTCTGATCACCGCAGACCTTCAGACTCGAGAACTCGTTGAACTCTTTGTTTTCCACGAGTGGAGACGACACGGCTCAGTGGTGAACCTCCTCCACTGGAGCCCGCTGGCCAAAGCTAAGCACCACCAACTCAAACTGGTTGACCGCAGCAGCATCTTAAAACCAGCACTGCGTTTCAGAAAATGAACGTCACGCCGACAGCCAAACACGGGGGTGGTAGTGTGGTGGTCTGGGGCTGCTTCAGGTCCTGGGCGACTCGCCGTCATTATGTCCGCTCTCTACCAGACAATCCTGAAGGATATCTGAAATGTCCTTAAAGCCGTTTGGGTTCTGCAGCAGGACAAATATCTGCAGCGCAGCAGCTAAAATCTTCCACAGCCGGGACAAAGACTCGTCAGCAGTTCTCGTTTAAACTCAATTACCGTATTTTTCGCCCTATAAGTCGCAGTTTTTTGAGTAATTTACATGCCCCGCTACTTATAGACCAAAGCGAGGCATTTGTTTTTTGTTTCCATATTTAAACCAATCTTTGGTTGAGACCGTGGTATGGCATGCTGTTGTGTCATGTAATAGGTAAACGTGCCTATTTATTTATTTAAATTTTTAAACAGTAAAAGAAATCGGGCCTGGCTCAGCATTTTTGCTGTTTTACAGCAGGTTCCTGTTCTGCAGAACATAAAAAACACAGATATCCAGCATCGCATCACATTAATAGACACACAGACACACTTCATTACAAAAGAAGGTGTCCAACAGATGACGCGCACGAGTCTTCTTAAAAAGTGGGAATGTTTAGATGGACTTTATATGTTGTGGAATGTCAGTCCATGCTTTAGTATAAACAGAAAAATGATCTGTGGCCGTAACAGTTTTTAAAGGCTGGTAGTGGCACGTGTCCGCCTGTGGCAGCTCTAGTCGAGCGACCATGTCCACAATTAGTTTTAGGCATCAAAGTAGAAACAGCTACATTACTGACACCATGAAAAACCTGAAAATACAATTTAATACCGCTGCGTAGAACATAATTTAGAAAAGTTAGCGCATTTGAAGAAGAAAGAGCTGCTATTAATGACACAATCAGCTTGCCATAGCTTCCACCTTCGTCCAGCTCGCCTGCAGCGCCCCAGTGAAATGCAGCTGGTTAAAGTGCATTCATTAAGTAAAAGTTCAACTGAGACACACATTTACTATAATTTTGAGCACATAAATAATTGTTTTTAAGTGTTAATCTTGTTAAAGTCCTCCCGTGCACGCTCCCGTGACCGCCATTTGGCAGTCAATCAATTTTTGTCACAACACCGGCCCACGTTTACAGGTTGTGAGTGGTGACAGTGATGCATAATAGATGCAACTTATTCGGCGAAGTGACGTATTTATGTTTTTTCCACTTTATTAGACATATTTGGACTGATGCAACTTATAGAGCGGTGCGACGTGTACGGCGGAAAATACGGTAAAAATGTTATTGGTGGCACGTCCGGTTATGATTAGGAGGCGACCACTTCTTCACGTAACGTCCGGTTGGCAAATGTTCCGTCTTCACGTCTCGTCGTTCCTGCCTGAAGGACACGACGGTGAAGGCTCTGAATCAACGAGTCACGTTTAGACGAAACTGAAACGGGTTTCCTGCGTTTTGCTGCAAACACACAATAATCCAAAGGTGTGCAGGAGGCTTTACAACGATTTGAGTTTGTATGAACTCTGTCTGCAGAGGTGCGCGTGCGCGCGTGTGGATACAGAGAACTCTTTGTAGAAGAGGTCGGCACTCTTGGAAAATTGTAAAAAAACTTGTTTGCACAGCAGAGGTCAGAGCCACGAATGTAGTTTCTTGAGCGAGTGTAGTAGTTTCAGCTGAGGTGGTGCGCAGGTTCAATCCTTTCTGCTCCTCTTCTTCAGCCACGGTGCACGTGAGGTTTGTCCGCCTCTTTGTTTTGCCTGTAATTTGCGCTCTTGTTTGCATGCCGCTCTCTGACCCTCTCTCTCTCCTCAGTGCTGCATTGATGATTTTGGGGCAGTGGTGCAGTGTCTGCTGGACGCCGGCGCCTCTGTGAATGCGTGCGACAGCGAGCTGTGGACGCCGCTGCACGCCGCCGCCACCTGTGGGCACACCGGGCTGGTGCAGCTGCTGATCCAAGCGTGGGTGCACCGCAGCTTTAAAGCTCATTCTCAGTTTGTTTACCGTTGAAGAAAACCAAGGGACGGGACACTGTTGGAATATGAGGAGCAAAATGTGACGTCGTTGTTTTTAATGTTTGCACGTTTCCTGGGTGTATTTTTTTAATGTTCGCGGCACAAAATAATAATACTGTGAACGTTTATGAAGCATTCACTCTATTGTGAGCCAGTTTTCTTCTGTACACTTTTCAGCATCTTTTCTCGTCCCGCAGTTTTGAAGCCATTTCATCAAATCATAAATCAAAACATTCGGCTCCTTCAGGAGAAGGACGACATGACTTTTGGTTTTGGTGCAACTTTAGCTGTTTGAACTATTTAGCCTTTTCTGACTTTTATCTCTCATAGAAAACTGAGTTCATTTTACATCCTTCAGATCTTTAGATCTGTTTACAACCTTTTACATTTTGTTCTGCTTCAGCTGCTTTCAGCTTCTTTCTGCAAATTTAAACTTTTTTCAGCTGTTCTCCAACTAATTTCAGCTGTTTTTTTTCAGCTGTTTTGTGCTCCTTTCTGCTAACTACAACATTTTTGTGCTTCTTCTAACTTCTTTCTGCTAATTTCAGCTTGTTATGCTCTTCAGCTTATTTATCCAAGTTTCAGCTTTTTCTGCTATTTCAGCTTATATTTAGCTGTTTTTTTGTTGCTAATTTAAGCTTTTTCAGCTAATTCCACATTTTTTTGCACTAGTTTCAATGTTTTTTTCAGCCTGATTCAGAAAAAATGTGCTCTCACTTCTGGTAATTTCAGCTTCTTTCTGCTGTTTTAGCTACTATTAAACTGTTTTTTTTACTCATTTCAGCTTTTTTTCAATTTCCACTGTTTTGTGCTTGTTATTTCTTCTTTCAGCGTAAATGGACAAACGTGTTCTTTCTGCTTTCTTCTGCTAATTTAATCTTTGACGTTTTCAGCCTTTTAAGCATTTTTTAGCCAATTTCATGTTTTTAGAAAAATTCAAGTTTTTCATGATAATCTTTGCTGCTTTCAAAGTAATTAACCTCTTTATGGCAATTTCAGCTTTTATGCTCCTTTTAGCTTTTTTTTTTTTTTTTTTTTTTGCTAGTTTCAGCTTTTTCTGCTATTTCAGCTACTATTTAGCTATTTTTATGCTAATTTGAGCTTTTTCAGCTAATTCCACATTTTTTAGTTAATTTCAGCTCTTTCCATTTCCTTCTGGTCGTTTAAGCATTTTTCTGCCTATTAAGCTACTTTCAGCTATTTTTAGCTAATTTCAGCTTTTTTAGCTAATTTCCTAATGTTTGTGCTCATTTATGCTAATATACACCTAATTCAGCAAAAATTTGTTCTTTCTGCTTTCTTCTGCTTGTTCTTCCATTTCAGCATGTTTTCTTTAGCTAGTTTCAGCTGTTTTTCAGCAAGTTCTGCAATAATCATTCACACTGCATTCTCACAGGAAATACAGTTTCTGTAGCTACAAATTTAGTTTTTTACACACTCCAATATGCAAACCCAGTAAATACACATTGATTTCATACCTTTAGTGTTTGTGCAGTATTTCTGTGGAAAATGTTTCCACTTTGATTTTATTGGCTCTTATTTGTTTTATCACGCTGTTCGTTTTGTCACCTGGTGTGTTTTAATAAACGGCGATGTCCTGATGGAGAAAAGTAGTAAAATGTGGTAAATTACAGTTGAGCTGTAAACTTTTCTCTCACGTTGGTTATTAATCGACAGACTGCAGTAGCGTTCGTATCGTTTTGATTAGAATCTCAGAACAAAGCGTTTTAAATACCGTCGATCAGGCTGCAGCGCGAGCGTGTCCTTCTGACCCGCTTTGTTTTTAAATGGACGAATTAATGCACATTTGTTCCCGTTCAGCGTGTGTTTGTGTGTGCCTCTAGTGGCGCCGACCTGCTGGCTGTCAACTCGGACGGCAACATGCCCTACGACCTCTGTGAGGACGAGGCCACCCTCGAGCTGCTGGAGATGATCATGGCCGAACAGGGTCAGCGAGCCGAGCCAAAACTTTGCTTTATTTTAAAAGATTCGTCCGACTGTTAAGTTCATTAACGCCTGATTCAACACAGCTGTCTGTCGCTGTTGAAATCAAATGCAACACGAAGCACATCAACAGAAGAGAGGTGTTCTTGGCCTTGTTGTCTGGATTTTTCACACGATTTAAATTTTCCTCTTCAGGGATCACTCAGGACCGTATAAAAGAATGCAGACGAGCTAAAGAGAAGAAAATGCTCGCTGACGTTCAGGCTCTGGTTCAGAGTGACGCAGATCTGAACGCGCAGGACAACAATGGAGCGACGCTGGTGAGGCGGGGACACTTGCACCGTGCACTGCACCGTCACAATGTTTAAACCGTGTTAAGGCCTTTATATTGTTGCAGTACAGTCCGGAGCGGACAAACGTGCACAACTCTGTTTTTAAACTTTGTTGGGTCCGTAAAAGACCTCACGGTCGTCTTTTCTGTGTTGATCTCAGCTCCATATTGCAGCTGCCAACGGCTACATGTCTGTGGCAGAGCAGCTGATGGAGAACAGGGTTCAGCTGGAGCTGAAAGACTCTGACGGGTGGACGCCGCTGCATGCTGCCGCCTGCTGGGGACAGGTGTGTACTGCAGCTCACGAGAACTTTCAACAGGTGTTTTATGAGGGTTTAATTATTTGTTCCATAGATTGAAGTGGTGGAACTGCTGGTAGCCCACGGAGCCAATCTGAATGCAAAGTCGGTCCTAGATGAGACGCCTCTAGGTGAGACCACCGACTTTTACTTTTCTTTGTTGACACCTTTCTCTAGTTTTATGATGTAACCGTTTCACCTGTCCCGTTTCCTTCTCAGATGTTTGTATGGACGATGAGGTCCGAGCCAAACTAACAGACCTGAAGCACAAACACGATGCCATCATGAAGAGCCAGGACAAGCAGAAAGGCACTCTGCAGAGAGGAGTGTCCAGCACTGGAAGCAGAGGGTGAGACGCCAGCCAGGGGGTGAACGCTTCGCACAGATGCTTGTTTTTAACTTTCCTCGCCATCTTCTTCATCTGTTCCCGCAGTAAGGTGGTGCGTCGTGTCAGCGTCAACGAGCGGTCCAGTCTGTACCGGCGGGAGCACCAGAAAGAGGCGATGGTGTGGCAGGAGCGCGGCCGACAGCCCGAAGCACCGGACGACGACGAAGACCGGCAAACTGACAATGAGCTGCAGCAGCACGGCGTGAGGGTGATTTCACATGTTCCTCACGTCCTGTTCGGCTTTCATGATTTTTACCGTTAATTCTGTAGACTTTGTGCTCTTTTAGACATTTATGCATCAAAATGTTTCTCGTTTAGGAGATGGGAGCTATTTATTTATAGTTCTTATAACTTTTCTATCTTACCAATATTTACCTTTATTTATCAAAATTGTTCCCAAAGAAAAATATTGAGATCTTTTCAGTTTGTAGCCTTTTGCTGCTTTTAGCTATCTTTGTGTTTTTTTTTATTATTATTAGCCTGGCATGTTGCTAGATTTAGCTTTTTGCTAACATTCTGCTCCTTTGGCTTTTAGCTAACTGTGTGCACCTTATAATTTCTAATTTAATTTGAATTTATTTAATTCATTTGCAGTTCAAAATAAACATGTCACCTGTTGACATAAACAAAAGTTCTGAATGAAAAGGAGTTTGAAGAAAAAATCTTATATAGCGGTAATCTACACCTTTTCCCAAAAGTTAATGTACTGCACCACGAGCAACAAGTTTCAATCAACCGTCCACATGGACACGTCTTTGAACACAAAACAGGCAATAAAGAAAACAAACAAACAAAATTTAAAATAAAAATGTAACTGCCGGCAGCTTTTTGTTCCTTCTAGACCAGAGCTTCTCAAACTTTTTGGCTTCAGGGACCCCGTCGTCATAACCTTCATATTTATTAAATAATTTTCTTCAGTTTGTCTCTTTAACACAATGGAAATATTTGTGTATCATAAATAATTAAGACGTGTTCTTTAATAGTGTTAATACAATTTGTATATGTTTAAACACGGAGTATTTTTCTTTCAAGACGCACGTAATTATCAATTTTTTTTATTTCAAATTCCAGAAATTACAGTTTTGAGAAAATGAACAGAATCAAAATCCACTTTAACAACTTTACCTATTTACATAAATTAGTGGGGGGGGGGGG